GAATCCCTGCCATATCCTCCCTCCAGGATGACATCCATCCTGTCCAGCTCCTATCTGACCACACCCTGTGACATGCACTTCATCTTTAGTGAGCTTTGACTGCTGGGAAGTTTTTTTGGGTGTAAATGCCTGGGAGCATGTTGCCACAGACTGAGATGGAAGCGTAGCTGGAGCAGTGAGCATGGTCTCTCCCAAATCTCTCCAGCACAGGCTCCCAAAGTAGCAGCGTTTCAACGCCACTTTACAGTGTGATCGACTGACCCAACAGTTGTTCAGACTGTTATGAAAACATGTTAGTGAACAGTATGAAAGCAAGGCTAGAAAAAAGGACCACAGAGTGAAGCCCTTCTTGACTTCTTAGCCCTTCACTAAACCAACAGGAAAGCTCTCCCTCCATCCCTTCTGTTAGTATCAGCCACACATCTGGTCCAAATGCTCCATTGCTGCTACCTTCAGTGGCTCCTTGAGGATAAGCTAATCTCATGTGAACGTTAAAATAACTTTTTTTTTTGTAAAAACATTTTACTGCTTCCAATTTTTAGAAGTGTATGATATGGCCCCCCTTCCCCTGGAAACTTATTTTGTGAGTTTTATTGGTTTTTAAATTTCTATTTATGTGAGAGGGAGAAAGAGATGCAGACAGACACATAGATCTCCCATCACCTGCTTCACTCCTCAAATGCCCTCAGCAGCCAGGACAGGATGAGGCCAAAGTCAGGAGCTGAGAACTCAATATAGGTCTCCCACGTGGGTGGCAAGCCCATCCACCTGAGCCATTGACTGCTGTCTCCCAGGGGATACGCTAGCTGGATTTGGAATTGGGAGTGGAATGGGACGCAAATCCAGGCACTCCAATATGGGATGCAGACATTCCAAGTGGCATCTCAAACACTGCAACAGATATCTACCCTGAATCTTATCATTGTCATTTCCATTTAATTCAGCTGTATCTTGCAGGGTTTTGGTAAGAAAAGGAACTTAGCCCTGTAACTTTTCCCTTCACTGTGCCAGAAGTGAAAGTTGATAAAAAATAATCCCCAAGACTCAAGACTAAAAATTTTCCTCTCTGAGGCTGGCACTGTGGTACAGCGGGTTAAAGCCCCAGCCTGCAGTGCCAGCATCCCATATGGGCCCTGGTTCGAGTCCTGGCTGCTCCTTTTCCAATCCAGCTCTCTGCTATGGCCTGAGAAAGCAGTATAAGATGGCCCAAGTCCTTAGGCTCCTGCACCCACTTGGGAGACCCGGAAGAAACTCCTGGCTCCTGACTTCAGACCAGCTCAGCTCTGGCTGTTGCAGTCATTTGGAGAGTGAACCAACAGAATGGAGGACCTCTCTCTATCTCCCTGGCTCTACATCTCTCTGTAATTCTGACTTTCAAATAAATAAAATACTTATTTTTTAAAAAAAGCTTTTCCTATATGTTGTCCTTGGTCCATAGTCATTATTCTGTGGGAAAATTTATGCAATGAACAAGGATCCCATTTTGCCCAAGTACCAGCAGCCAGCCCACATATTTTCAACTTGCTAACCCAGGTATTAGAATATGTTCTCAACTCCAGGGACCTTGTTGACTACATGCCATCCTTGGATCAGAAAAGAGGTATGCTTTCTTTCTTTTTTCTTTCTTTGTTTCCTTCTTTCTTTTTTTTAAAAAAGAGTTATTTATTTGAAAGGCAGGGTTACAGAGAGGGAGAGATCTCACTCCCCAAATAGCTGCAATACTTGGGGATGGGCCAAGTTGAAGCCAGGAGCCTGGAACTCCATTTGAGTCCCCTGCATGGGTGGCAGAGACCCAAGTACTTGGCCCATCTGCTGCTGCTTTCTCAGGCATATTAGCAGGGAGCTGGATCAGAAGTGGAGCAGCTGAGACTTGAAGTGCTGCCCAGTATAGTTTCTTACATGTTGTCATTGCACTTGTCCTGTGCCTATCTTCTATCCCCACAGAACACTAAGATTTAAGGGAGTGGATCTTGGCGTCCTTGAAATCTCCCACAGTCCTGAGTCTGTTAGGAAGGTCCTTGCCTACCTCTCCAGCCTGGTTTCTCACCTCCAACCTTATCACAGTGTGTGTATGGCCTTGCAGGGCTTAGAACCTACGCTGCCCTTTAGATAAGTGTCTCAGCACTCACCTCCCGTCTGGTTGAAACGCCCAATCCTGCATTCCAGGGATGCACTGCTGGTTGCAGGTCAAAACTCTGTTCACCTATCCAGGAACCGTTCCCTAGGTCCTCCCACACACTCTCATTTCCACCTGTAGCCCTTGCCACATCTTGTAATTGCATGTAGGTACTTAAAAAACTTCATGAAAAAAATGGAATTACAAAATAGGTTTCTTTGGGTGCAAAAATTTTTGAAATCTGTTCATCAGCTGATTGTTCCCTTAATTTCCTGCAGAGGAAGAGGGCTGGGCCTCTCTGGGCTTATGCTCAATATGATTTAGGGTCTCAGTTTTCCTTTTCCAGGTGCTCTGGCTGTGTGGGGGCCTCAGTCTTTCTCTGTTTCAGAGACAGGGTGTGAGAAAAATGGACTTCATCAACTTCCAGGAAGATCCCCTGGCCAGTCATACAGAGCCCATTCATCCCATCATTCACTTCCTGTGTACCAGACTCAGAAATATATGAGTAACCAGCTGCCCCTATGCATGCAAGACAGGCTCAGGTGGACTTTTTATTTTTTATTTTTTGACAGGCAGAGTGGACAATGAGAGAGAGACAGAGAGAAAGGTCTTCCTTTGCCGTTGGTTCACCCTCCAATGGCTGCCGCAGCCGGTGCACCACGCTGATCCGATGGCAGGAGCCAGGAGCCAGGTGCTTTTCCTGGTCTCCCATGGGGTGCAGGGCCCAAGCACTTGGGCCATCCTCCACTGCACTCCCAGGCCACAGCAGAGAGCTGGCCTGGAAGAGGGGCAACCGGGACAGAATCCGGCGCCCCGACCAGGACTAGAACCTGGTGTGCCGGTGCCGCAAGGCAGAGGATTAGGCTAGTGAGCCACGGCGCCGGCTACACCAGGTGGACTTTAACAAGCAACCTCCAGCATTGGAGTGGGGCTTCCGAGGAGACGTATGAAAGGAGTTAGAGCAGCTTTGGCTTCAGTCTTTCTGGAGGTGGGATTGCTCAAGCCTAAATGGGGCACGGAGATCAGCCTCAGGCCAGGGACTGCCTTCCCAAAAGACAAGGGCTCAGGCCATGGTGGAACCACTTGCCAGACCTAGTAGCTCTTTGGGGACTGGTTTTCCAACTTCATCACTTCCTTTCCAAGTCCCAAGGGACTGTGTCTCCTGCACAAAATCCTAGGGGAACCCTGCCTTTTGGCTTCTGGCCCTGTCCCTTACTGCTCTCAGAGCTTTCTTGACTCAGTGCCTGGTCCATGTGTCCTGTTTTCCTAAAAGCAAGTTATTTTTCCAGTTCACAGTCCCATAGTGTCCTGCTCCCTTTTTCTTAGTCCTTTTCTTGAAACTCACTCAAAGGCAGAGGGGAAAGGGAAGGTGAGATCCAAAGACATACTGAGCACGACTCCTGCCGCAGGCCCTCTCCCTATTGTCAGGCACCTCCTCTAAAGTCCCCAGGGTTCCCAGTCCATCCTCCCTCCTCAGGAGTCAAGGTGCTTGCTTTGCTGTGTCTTTGGAAGCACTCCCAGCAGCTGTACCTATATGCCTGCCTCTCCTTCCCAATGTGCCTTCCTTATGGAAAGGGATGTGGCTCAATGGAAGCTCAATGAGCAGTGTCTCAGGCTACAGGCAAGTGGCAGAGCAAAGTCCAGGTCTTCTGAGACCTCCACCTGGGTCCCCACCATAGCCTACAACACCTTCACTCACCTCCTACTCCTCTCTTGTGGCTGAGTGGCTTCCAGTTCTCCCCTGGGGAGCTCCCTTCCCCAACCCCATAGCATCAAGGTCCAACTTTGGGAGAATGCTGGAGACTTGGACAGTGGCACATGAGGCGTGGGGAAGGAATTCAGACTTGTTGTTAGGCTAATGAAAGAGCAAGAACTCAAACATAAGGGCCTTTGTCAGGTGGTGAGGAGTGCATGTTAACCCAAGACAAGTTTCCAGAGAGGACTGAGACAAGAAATCTACAGGGAAGTGACAGGACAGTAATACCAACAGACAGAAGTTAAGGGTTCAAGATCTCAGCTGTTAAAACAGCAAAGTTGTCATCCTTCTGGGGGACCAATGGCCAGATCGATGGCTTTGGAAAGATGATTAAGAGTCAGATGGCTTGACCAGGACCCAGTAGGACAGAACGAGGGTCCTTCCCTCTCCTGTGTGGAACAGCTTCTAAGCCAGTGTGGTTGGATGGGCTGGTGTAGTAAACTTATCTGCAGGATGAGAGTGAGGGCAGGGGCCAGCACTGTGGCACAGCAGGTCAAGCTGCCACCTGAGATGCCAGCATCCCATATGGGTGCCAGTTAGAGACCTGTCTACTCCACTTCCTATCCAGCTCCCTGGGAAAGCAGCAGAAGATGGCCCAAGTCTTTGGGCCCCTGCACCCATGTGGGAGACCTGGAAGAAGCTCCTGGCTCCTGAATTCAGTCTAGCACAGCCTGGGTGTTGCAGCCATCTGGGGAGTGAACTAGCGAATGGAAGAACTTTCTTTCTCTCTGTGTGTTTTCTCCTTCTCTCTTTCTGTAACTCTTTCAAATAAATAAAATAAATCTGAGAGAGAGAGATCTGTCAGGAGACAGGAGAGCAGAGGAATCTGGCAGCAGTGGTGCCCCTTTGGGCAGGATCCTGAGTGTCTGACATGCTCCCACAGGTATAGTCAGGTTGAAAGGAATCCCTCCTTCTCCTTACTTAAAGCATAAACAGCATGTGCGTTGCTTGGGAGCGGGATAGGTGATAGTAAGGTGTCTTTTATACTGACTTTCCTCCACAGTGGGCCAAGAAAAGCAGGTGAGCTTGGAGAAAGGCAGCCAGAAAGGAGTGAGAAGGTAGGGAGCTGTTTTCTCAGAGCTGACCGGCAAGGGCAGAAGGTCCAGACACAGCTTTGCTAGAGTAGCAGTCGCTTAATTTGACTTTATTTCCTGACAGTCTTCCCTCGCGGAGTATGGCCCTGTGGACGACCCGGCCCCCCACCCCCTAACTGAGTCCCTGGGAGGAGGAGAGATGAGGCACACTTTCCTGAGAGCTGGAAAGAAACAAAGTTCAGGACAGGAGTCCCCGAGGGACAGTCAGGGTAGGCTGAGGCCAGGCTTCTCCCTCTTCCTCAGTTCCATTCTGTTCCTCTTGAGTTTCTTCATCTTGGGCATTTGTTTTTTTTTCTGGACTCGGACGACCCGGACGACCCAGAGTCCCACAGCCAGAATTACCAAGAGCAAGAGGAGGAGAAGTCCCTTGGCCAGGAGGCAGAAGGGTGTTGAGGGCTTCTCAGAATAGCCAGGATCTGCGATGGAAGAAGCCGGGGAGAGGCCCCATCAGAGGGAGTGGTGGGAATCAGTGGGGACACCTCCCCAGATCCCACGGTGGATCTCAAGCTCACGATCGGCGGATGCCCCTTGGGAACTATACGTGTCTATTTTATGCACAGAGACTCAGGGACTGGGGTCTGGGGGGCATTCCCAAGCTGAGTGACCTTCGGCAGTTGGGAGCACTAGAGAAGGGGAAGGGCCCCTCCCCAGTGCCAGTGTCAAGCCTCTGTGGAGCGGGGCTGGGCTCTGGCTTCCAGCTCCCTGAGAAAGAAGGACTGGGGAAGGAATTGGTGCTCTGGGGCACGGGCTTCGCGTGAGCTTAGGGGTTGTCTCCAGATTCTGGTACCTGCACAGAAGTGTCCTGCAGAGATAGGACGGGACCTGATGCTGCTGATGGGGTTGCTGGCCCTGCAGGTGTACAAGAGGGCGCTGTCCCCGGGCCTCCAGGATGTTCTAAGGACGGGGCCCTCATGGTTTGTATCGGTGCTGTCCCCCGAGGAAAACCAGCTGTAGGTCACGTCCATGTCCGCCTTTACGAAGCATGTCAGGGACATGTTACAGGGACCTTCCCTGGAGATCTCAAAGTTCACTGTGATTTGGGGCTCCGACAGCCATTCTGGATGAGAGGAGACACAAAGACCCCACCACCACCACCCCCCAACACAGAGGAATTAGTGCTGTCCTCTGAGAGCTCCTTCACCCAAACAACAAATAAGCAAAAACAAAACCCAGCCTCCACCAAGCCTGTGGTTCCAGGGTCTCTGGGCAACTGCTAAGGTAGGCAATGCTGCCTTTGGCATCTTCTGCCTTAAATGCCTCCTCCCTCTCACTTTTGTACTCCGCCTTCCCCCAATATCTGCTCTGCCTCCTTGATCCCATAATATATAACCATCCCTCCGAGGGGCATTTATATTTTAATCAATTCCCTTCAAGATTCAGGGTAGATTCAATGTGATGACAGACACTGAGAAGTAGAGAGAAGACAGTGATTAGTAGCCCTTAAATCCCACAGGGGTAAAAGTCTCAAGTATGGATCAGGTGTTCATCCTTAGGAAACCCTAGAGGGTCTATAAACAAAGCCCCTAAGCCTTTGCTCTGCATTGGGCACCCCCATGGATCAGCATCAGTGCCCAGCGCCTCCTTGCTCTAGGTCACTGCAGCTGCATTTGCTGCAGCTCAGATACTGGGGCTGGGCACTCTGGAGACCGTCTTCTTCTGGTTCCAGTCCCTCAAGCCATGATCCCAAGTACTGAGACTCCTACTCCACGGTGGGAAGTTCAGGAGATTAGCACAAAGAAGTTTTACAGTTCCCAGCCTAAACTCACGGTAGATACGTAGATCGTAGTACTGCATGGTAGAGAGCTGTGATGTTCCCAGGTAGACTTGAGCTTGGTAAAGGCCGGAGTCCGCCCAGCTCAGATTCCTGATGAGCAGGGTGTGGCTGGTGTCCAGCCAGCTCAGTCGGTTCTCAAACTGTGGGTTGGTCACTCTGATGGTAGCTGGATGTCCGTCTTTCCCTGGCACCACGGTAGCAAGTGGCTTGTGAAAGTACCAGATGATGCGCTCAACATCTTCATCAGACGGTATTTCCAGGGAGAGGCTAGCAGGTCCCTGGAGGACCGCTGCTACTTCCTCAGGATTCACATCATCTCCAGAGTCCCCTTTGGCTGCAGATCAAGGAAAAGAAGAGAGAGAAACATCCCAGCTGGAGTCTGGGCTGCTGAACCTGGCAGCAGGAGCTGTGGTTCAATCTCAGTTTTTGTTTCTGTGGTCTACACACTGCCTCCTCCACCTGCCTCTTCTGGCCCTAGATTTCCACTGCACCTGATTTTGAGAACCAGTGTTGCCTTCCAGTTGGTCGTTCAGCCTCCAACTTTCACCATCCACTTTGCCACCCTGAGGCTGCTCTCTGCTTTCCACATCCCCAGCTGTCCACATCACCGTGTCCTATACTGAAGCCACATCCTATTCCTTGTCGCTCCAGGAGAACTTACACATTCAACTCCAAAGGATCTTGCCAGCCCAGAATCTAGCAGGACAGGAGAACAGGAGGAGAGGAGCCAGTCCTGGAAAGGAGCTGGGGGTCACTCACCTTCAAGGAGCAGCAGGAGAGGGAGCAGCCAGAGAAGGACCGCCATGTCAGCAGCACGTGCCCCAGGAGGCGTCAGCGGGTCAGTCCCCAAGAGTGAGGTTAGGACAAGCTGTGAGGAGGCTCCTGGCAAGAGTGACTGACTGGCAGTCCTGAGGAGAGGGAAATAATTCTCACCCTAAGTGGCCACCCTCTAACTTCCTCCAGCCTCACTAAGCCCCTCCCTAGCGGCTTGGTTGAGTCCTCTCTCAGAGCCTGCTTATCAGGGTGGTTTGACCAGGGGCTTATGTTGCCATTCTCTAAGCTCATCTCAAATCTCACTTCCTAGGGGAGCCTCCCTGGACTCCCTACTCTCTGTATTCCCAGACCCTCAGATGTATCATCTGCTTGGAACCCTTAGAATGCTCCCAACCCATCATTTTGATCTCAGCATACTCTGCTCCAGCTCTCTCTCTGTGGATCCTATGTGGCTGTCATCGTCCGATCTGATGAGTATTTTTATCTCCCCAGATGGACTCCTTCTCTTGTTTCTTCTGTGGGTCCCACTATTGCTGGCCTCCATGCCAGACATGTGTTAGCACTCAACTGATCGCTTTAGAATAGATGAATGAATGAAATCTTTCTATGTAAAGCTAGTTATGTTCCATTTGAGAAACAATCCAGAGGGGAGAAATGTGATACTCTTAAAAAGCAGTTTGAACAAGAGAGTTGATGTAGGTTGTTGAAATTATGGAAATCATTCTGTGCAAATACAATTTGGTGAAAGCTACAGGAAATCAGGTTCAGGAGGAGACTGCTGGAGATCAGTGTAAGAAAAGACTTTCTGACAGAGCTCTGTCATGGCTACCACAGGAGGCAGTTTCTGTTCCTGATATTCAAGCATAGACTGGACAACGATTTGCTGAGATGCTCTGGTACCAGATGGATCCCCTAGCTGGATAATCTTTTCATTTAAATAAAGATTTTATTATTTATTTATTTGCTAGCCAGAGAGAGAGGGGAGAGAGGGCTTGATCTTCCATCTGCTGGTTCACTCCCCAAATGGCTGCAATGGCCCAGGTTGGGCCAGGCAGAAGCCAGGAGTCTGGAACTCCATCCACGTCTCCCATATGGGTGGCAGGGGCCATTTTCTGCTGCTTTCCCAGGCACATTAGCGTGGAACTGGATCAAAAGTGGAACAGTTAGGATTCAAACCAGTGCTCATACAGGATGCTGGCGTCATAGGCAGCAGCTTAACTCAGTGCACCACAACACCAGCCCCCTAGATAATCTTTAGTTTATTCCAATATTCAATTCCAATGAGTCTAAAATAGTGCATCTCAGGGTCAAGTGCACAATGGAGGCAGATGTGGTGAACTCTGACTCTGTGCTAACATTAACTATCCTTGGGTCAGCAAGTCCAGCACTCAATTAAATGAGTACGAAGTAGCTTCTATGGTCCGCATTGAAGGGTACTTCAAGAAATTTGTGGAAAAAAAGAAATGAAAATATATGTTTTTAAACATTTTTAAATAGAGCTTGCATTGTGGTATAGTGGGTAAGCTGCTGCCTGCAATGCTGCCATCTTATATGGGTGCCGGTTCAAGGATGCTCCACTTCTGATCCAGCTCCCTGCAAATGGCCTGGGAAAAGCAGTGGAAGATGGCCTAAGTACTTGATTCTCTGCTACTCACGTGGGAGACCTGGAATAAACTCCTGGCTCCCAGCTTCAGTCTGGCCTAGTCCTGGCCCTTGTGACCATCTGGGAAGTCCTTAATGGATGGAAGATCTCTTTCTCTCCATCTTTCCCTAACTCTTCAAACAAATAAATAACTCTTTTTAAAAAGTTAAATGTTTTTATTAAAGTTTATTTTCATCTATTTGAAAGGCAGAGCAACAGATCAAGTGGAATACCACACACACACACACACACACACACACACACAGAGAGAGAAAGAGAGAGAGAGAGAGAGAGAGCGTGAGAGTGAGAGAAGGAGAGAGAGAGAGAGAGAGAGGGCTTCCACCTGCTGGTTCAAAATGCAAGTGCCCACATTAGCCAGGGCTGGGCCAGGCCAAAGCCAGGTGCCAAGAGCTTCATCTGGGTCTTCCACATGGATGGCAGGGGTCTAAACTATCATCTACTTCCTCCCAGCGTGCATTAACAGGAATGATCGAATGGCAAGCAGAGTAACCAAGACTCAAACCAGCTCTTTTATGAGACATAAAATCCCCAAGCTGTGGCCAACACCGACCCAATTGTTGCAAAAAATTCTGAAACCCATTTTTCATAATATGCACTTTCCATGAACTTGTTGAAGATCCCTCCTATTGTCCTGAGTGCTGGGCAATGAGCAGTGGTCAATAATTTTAGGTTATGGCTTCATGGGGCTCCCAGGCTAATAACTGACCTTGGACAAGTAACTCCAAGTGTGATGAATCTTTCTAAAGGGAAAAATGAGGGAGCCTATAATAGTGAGGAGATTTAGCAAAGTTACAGTCAGGAGCATTGGGGGAAAGCTGTTAAAGAGAAATGATATTTAAGCTGAGACTCCCAAGGATGAGTAGGATCTGCTAAGTGAAGAAGAGAATGAAATGAATAGTTCCCTATGTATTGTTGCTTTTTTCAAATGGATACCTCTGAACATTTAATTTATTTATCAGGACTCAGGGAGGGGATAGTGTTGTGGTGCAGTGAGTTAAGCCACAGCCTGCAGTGCCAGCATTCCATATGAGTACAGGTTCAAGTCCTGGCTGCTCTACTTCCGATCCAGCTCCCTGCTAATGCACCTGGGAAGGCAATGGGAGATGGCCCATGTGCTTGAGCCCCTGCAACCACATGGGAGACTCAGATGAAACTCTTGGCTCCTGGTTTCCACCTGGACCATCCCTGGCCATTTGGGAAGTAAACCAAAAAATCTTTCTTTCTGTCTGTCCTTCTCTCCCTGTAATTTTTCTTTCAAATAAATAAATTAATTAAATTTTAAAAGCCTCTGGGATTAAGATTTTTTAAAAAGATACAATCAGGTTTCAGTCTGAATTATTAAATTTTTATATATATATATTTATATATATTTATTTTTAAAAAAAGATTATTTAGGCGCGCTCCCGCCCTCTGCCAGCTCTGCGGCTTCCTCCCTCCTCTGCGCTTCTCCCGTGGCCGTTGCTCTGGAGGCAGCCCGAGATGGCAGATGAGATCGCCAAGGCTCAGGTCGCCCAGCCTGGTGGCGACACGATCTTCGGGAAGATCATCCGCAAGGAAATCCCAGCCAAAATCATTTTCGAGGATGACCAGTGTCTTGCTTTCCATATTTCCCCCCAAGCACCAACACATTTTCTGGTGATACCTAAGAAACATATATCCCAGATTTCTGCAGCAGAGGATGCTGATGAAAGTCTTCTTGGACATTTAATGATTGTTGGCAAAAATGTGCTGCTGACCTGGGCCTAAAGAAGGGTTACCGAATGGTGGTGAACGAGGGCTCAGATGGCAGACAGTCCATCTATCATGTTCATCTCCACGTTCTTGGGGGTCGGCAGATGAACTGGCCTCCTGGTTAAGCATGTGTTAGGGCCAATTGTTCCTTTTCCAGGCAGTGATAAAGTTTGCAGTCTAATGTCAAACAGCATACTTTTGCCTGTGTATACAGATTGAGGAAATATTGGAGAAAAATAAAAACATACATAATAAAAGACAAAAAAAGATTATTTATTTGAGAGCAGAGTTACAGAGAGGGAGAGACAGAAAGAGAGGTCTTCCATCCACTGGTTCACTCTCCAGCTGGCTGCAACAGATGGAGCTGTGCCATCCAAAGCCAAGAGCCAGGAGCATTTTCTGGGTCTCCCACATTGGTGCAGGGGTCCAAGCACTTGGGCCATTTTCCACTGCCTTTGCAGGCCATAAGCAGGGAGCTGGATTGGTAGAAGAGCAGCCAGGACACGAACTGGCCCCATGTGGAATGCTGGTGCTGCAGGTGGAGGCTTAACTTTCTATGCCACGGGGTTAGCCCCTTCTCATTTATTTTAAAAAATAAAATTACACCCAGCAATGCAGCTCTTGGGTATATTTCTAAAGGAAATGAAATCTATGTCAAAGACATACCTGCACTCCCATGTTCACTGCAGCACTAATCATTACAGCCAAAATATGCAGTCAAGCTAGGTGAATGGAAAAAGAACATGTGATATATACACATGATAAAACATTATTCAGCTTTAAACATGAAGGAAATTCCATGATTTGTAACAACAGGGATGAACTCAGGGGACATTATGTTAAGTGAAATAGGGCAGGTGCAGAAAGACAAATAACACATGATCTTCTTTGTATGTGGAATCTAAAAACATGAACTAATGCAAGTAGAGAGTAGAATGGTGGATATCAGTGTGCAGCCAGGAGAGATGTTGGTCAAAAGAAACAAAATTTCAGCTAGACAGGAAGAGTAAGTTGAAGAAGTCTGTTGTACACCAGGATGACAATAGTTAATTAAAATGTAAAGCCTCAGTCTGTGATACCTGCACCCCATATGGGTGTTGGTTCAAGACCTGGCTGCTCCACTTCCAATCCAGCTCCCTGCTAATGCGCCTGGGAAAGCAGGGGAACATGGCCCAAGTCCTTGAGAACCTGTCACCCATGTGGAAGATCTGAAAGAAACCCCAGACTCCTAGCTTCGGCCTAGCCCAGCCCTAGCCATTGCTGCTATTTGGGGAATGAACCAGTGGATGGAAGATCCTTTTCTTTCTCTTTCTGTCTCTTATCTCTGTGTAACTCTGACTTTCAAATAAATAGATAAATCTTTAAAAAAAAAAAAAGTACCACACCCATTCTTTGAAAATGTCTAAGAGAATAAATTTTAAGTGTTCTTGCCACCAAAAAAAAAAAAAAAAGAGAAGTACATGTGGTAACACGTAATTAGCTCTGGAGTCATTCCACAGTGTATACATTATTTCAAAACTATGTGCTACACACAAGAAATAGGCACAAAGTTTTGTCAATTAATATTAAAATAAATAAAGTTAAAGCATTGGGGAAAAGATAGCAAGGCCATGCGGGCAACGTTCAGAATTTAAAGAATGAGGATATCGGATTCCCTGAGAAGCACATGCAGAGGGTTAACAGGAATACAGCCCATGAAGAGAAAAGGGGAAGGAAGCAGGATTGAGGAAGGAGAGCCTCAGAGTGGAACGCAGATCCCACAGCCTGAGCTAACCCAGCAGGGAGTTCTGGAGCCAAGACAGTCTTTCAGAAGCGGGATCTTGGGGCAATGTCCAGGCCCCGGCGAGACCACCTTCTCTGGGCAAGAGTGCCCAGGTGCCGCTGCCCTCGCCGTGCACAGCCACCTGCTGGTGCCACCTGGCAGAGTGTGGATGCCGAGGGTGTTGCAGCCGGAGGCTGTGGGTCTGTTGCCTTGCAGCCGGAGAGCAGGGGGCGGATCCGTGCGTGGCTGCTTCAGTGAGTGTGCTGTGGCCAGAAGGTGATGTATTAAACTTATCTCCATAAATCAGCATAATCAGTCCATTGTGTCTACTGAGGAGAGGGAAATCATTTCCAACCCTCGTCCTCACTAAGCCCTCCCAGTCCACTGTGGAGGAAGACCCTGCTTACAGCATGCTTTTCTTTTCTTTTTTCTTTTCTTTGCTTTTTTCAAATCTAATTCTCCTTCCAGCTCATGCCTGCACTGTGCTCCAAAAGTGACTCCATTTCTCTCACTGCCCTGTACATGTTACTCCCTGGTGTAGAATTCTCTGCCCCGTAAGAACTCTGGCCTGGATTTCTGGTCTCAGTTCGAGAATGAGAGAACTTCCTGTCTTGTGAAATGTACAGAATTCCCAACTTAACTGACAATCCATCTCCCCTTCCCCGGCTTTGGATGTGTTTCAGGCTGCACGCCTGTGGTGACGGGGGCGGAGGTCTTTCTGCTTCCTCTCTGCTCA